AAGTCTTTCTAAAAATTACCAGATACATCCTATGCCTATTTCCAACTATGAATTAACCAACTTCTTTTTAGAATGTTTTTAATGCTCTCATATTTTGTCTTCTGTAATGAATTAACTGTCATTTAAATATGGTTTTTATTGCTAATATGAAAAGTCTTAGAACTAAAAAGAAGGTCTATTTATAAGACTTACTCTTTCTGCTTTCTGACCTAGCGTTTCCCTTCCGGTGCACACGATGAGAGATCCCTGGTAATCTAGCAGGAAGCAAGTTCTTTTGGATGTCATAATTTCCTGGTTTAAATGGCTCCCTTCCTGCTGCGACCACAGCTCCAGAGCTCAGTATCACCGCCTGCAGATTAGGAACCTAGAAGAAACCAGAGTCATCGTCCTCCCATGAGAGCATTGTTCTCTCCACGTGGTGTATTTGTGACTTGGGAGATTCAATCCTATAGCCTCTCGGGCTTGAAGGAAATCATACCAGGCATTTTCTTAGCTATCAATCATTTACACAAAATAATCTAGGCAGATAGGGGTCGTGGAAGAAACCTGACCAACTTACTGAGGCTACACACTAGCTGGAAAAAGATAGGCTGGTTTTGTGGGATAGCTAAGCAAATCTTCCCACAAGTCTACTGGTGGGCATAGTTGGTCAGGAAGGTGATCTGTTGATTCATGTCGCTGCAGAACCTGCAGGTCGGCCACAGGGAGACTAGGAAAATGCTTTCCCTAGCTAGAACACTGCTTTTGGCCACTACCAAGAAATATTGTCAAGACTGGATTCAACAAAACATTGAAAGTCAGTGTTCACAGAAGACAGAAAGGGAAGAAGACATTCTCATAGCCCCTGACCTGTCAGATCCTGATGAAAAAATAGACATCATCACAAAACCAGAAAACACTGAACTAGTAGAGACACACGCACATGCACACACAGCCCCAGAACGCACACCTTCCTTCCATCAGTGGAGTACAGCTTGGCCACCCGGCACTGCATGACCTGTGTCAGGTGGTACAGAAAGGCGTCGAAGCTCTGGGTCACCCTCCGGCTCAAAAGGACCACATGCCTCGACTTTGGGTCGCCGTTCCGGAAGACCACGAGCCTCCGTGGGGGGCGGGGCACGCCTGGGGCAGCCATGGGGCCGCCTGCTGGCTGCAGGTGCGCATGCGTGCTTATGGACCTGCTGCTGAGCCAGGGACGAGGAGGCTGACGGGCCTTTTCCAGGTCAACTGGCTGCACCTTCCTACCGTGGGAGCACAGGTATGCCTCTCCATCCTCCAGCTCCTCCAGCTTGGTGATGCTGTGCCTTCCACCAGGCGTGCTGATGTTCCGCACTCCAAAGGGCAGGGGCACCTTCCTAGACAGGTTATCCAGCAAGGCATCAAAGGTCTTAAAGGAACGAGGGTTGACCACCACCTGCACGCCACAGAATTGGGGGTCTCCACTCTTGTAGAAGCTGATCCGTTTAGCCACGACAGGATGAGTGACACTTGAATGGCGAGGGGAAGGAACTTGACCTCCTGAAGAAGTTCGATGCATCATGGGGAAACTAGTAGAAGGCATCTTGCTCATTTTACGACAGGATGAGTGACACTTGAATGGCGAGGGGAAGGAACTTGACCTCCGGAAGAAGTTCGATGCATCATGGGGAAACTAGTAGAAGGCATCTTGCTCATTTTGGATGAGACCTAGAGAGGGAAGAAAACTATTTCCACAATGTTGTTCTGAAATGGCAGCGTGGAGAATATATGATAATGTTCACGAATGCTTGTTAAGTTGAAGATATTCAGAATAGTCCTAGGATTTTATTTA